GCTCCCCCCTGTCGCAGTCTGAAAACTTCCCGAAGCAGGGATGCCTGTCTGCTCTCTGACAGGGTTGCGCGTAGCCTGCCTGCATCGAGCACCATCCCCAGATACTGCACCTGCTGGTGAGGTATGGGAGTGCTCTTCTTCCAATTGACCGCAAAACCCAACTTGGTTAGGTGTAGGATCAATTGGGCTGTGTGGAACATTACCCATTCCCTGGACCTGGCCATGACTATGTGGTCGTTGAGATAAAATAAAACCCTCATGCCACGCTCGCGAAGCGGCTGGAGTGCTGTGGTCACTCATTTGCTGAACGTGCGTGGGGATAGAGAATAGCTGAACGGTAATCTGTTGTACTCGTAGGCTATTCCCTGGAAGGCAAAACGCAAATACTTTCTGTGCTTTGGAGCAATTTTGACATGAAAGTAAGCGTCCCTCAGGTCGATGGTTGTGAACCAATCGCCCGACTGCACCAGTTCCAGTAATTGTTTTATGGTTAACATATGGAACTTTTTGCAGACGATGTGCTGATTCAGGATGCGAAGATCCAGAATGGGTCTGAATTCTCCTGTCTTCTTGGGAACCAGGAAGTACATGGAGTAAAGCCCCTTTTCTCTGTCCTGAGAGTGCACAACAGACACAGCCTGTTTTTGCAACAGGACCTGCATCTCTGTTGAAAGGAATCCTATCTCCTCCTGGGATGATAGATGTGCCTCTCTTATGCCCCTGAATGGAGGAGGGACACTGCAAAACTGGAGTGAGTTACCCAGTCGCAGTATCCTGTCCATCCACTCTGTCAGTACACAGCTGAGCTTCCACTCCCCATACAACTGTGTTTTAGGGGACATGCAAGGAGCTGTGGAGCCGCACCTAAGAAGCTGTTGTACTCTCTGGTGGCCCTCTCCTCCGCCAAACCTTCCATGAAAGGAAGATTGGCTTATGGGGAACCGACATTAAAAAGGGCCGATTTTCTGCGGAGGTCCTTGAACGCACCACGGCCACTCTCGCTGGGCCGCGCGCCTTCGTATTAACGCTGTGTTTCACATTAACGGTGAAACGCATTAATTGGAGCTATTATACCAGGCGAGGTGTGTTTTTCTGACAACAACACGCCGGCTATAGCGTCTCTGAACCCGCACAGTGCTTTGACAGCACTTTCTGCGGTTTATTCCACTCACTCACGTGCGCGCGCCCACCTGCTGCTTCCTTTATTGGAGCTACAGCGGGGCGGCGAGTGTGGGACAGTGTTCTCTCCTCTGAGGATGAGCAAGAAGCAGCACACGGCCAAGCTGCGACTTCTCCTCATCCGCGTGACCGAGGAAATCGATCCGAAGAGCCCTTCCGTAGACACGGGGGCTCCCAGGAGATCATCACAGCCTTTTTTTGGAAAGTGCCACGCGGCGTGATCCCACTGTGGCCAGGGACAACACACGGCAAGCAGCGGCGGCCACACCGTGGACCAGGATATTAATTTGGCGGATGCTGCGGCCAAATAATCACTCTGATCCGGTGAGGGGGGCATCTTGTGGAAGAGCAATCAGTGAGACGCCCGACACACCCGTGTTATTTGTAGCCGCCCTGTCACACGACAGCAGGGCAGAGGTTCTCCGCCCAGCCTGCTGCCTGTGGGAGCAGATGGGCTGCCAGGCTCTCATCAAGGGGGGGGGCACGCCGGGAAACGCTGTGTCCGTGCGGCCCTGCCCCCTGAGGATCCCCACCATACCAGCCACTGGAGCCTTCGTCTTCAGTGGCCACGACGCCTCCACACATTGCCAGATATCTGGCAACGGGGGCGAAATGAAGGCTGGCTGCGCCGGGCGGACCGGGCCGTAGAACCCCTGGCGGAGGCGGCTCACCGGTTTCGGCGGCAGTGCTGTATTTTACAGTGTGGACGCATTAAACACTTGCTTAGAACTAATATTAACCATCTGGCAAAAAATATTAAAGTTAAAAGTTGTTTAGGACACCTCAAAAGTCATCCAGGTCCCCTCTGGACTTCTTAAACACCAAGGATGTTGTAATGAGTAACAGACTGTGTGTATGGGGTACTGCAAATTGCCTTGTTGGTTTTTAAATAGTGTTAAAGTTTAAAGGATGCAACAAAGTAAAAAGAGATCAAGAAGAATGCATAGTCTCAAGAAATCTATTCAATCCAAACCAGAGGTCTCAAAAGTCAAGTGCAAGAGACAACTTCTATGGGAGTGTTGTTGAGCTGTGTATGGTCTTTGAGGTTAGTTTTCGCCTGCATTGCTTCTAGATATTTGAGGTCACCATTAAAACCAGCGTGACAAGGCAAGGAGTAACAGATCAACAACAAACAAATTCAAGGTTCAGTAACGATTCCATCAATATTCCCAGCATGCCAGCTGGAATCATTAACATGGCTGTGTTACATGTCTCTTGTGCAACAGCCTCTAAACCATGAGGGACTATTGAACCATCCATTTTTTACTTGTTTGCAACCGTATCAATATGGCGATGTACAGTCTGACCTGCATCGACAGGCTCATTTCTGACCATTGATCCAAGCAGCCTGCACAAATCGAACACTATGTGCAGCCGCTTGCTGATAAATACTCATTCAAACCCCACAGCAAGTGTGCTTACAAGACCGCCCACCCCTCACTTTAATAAAAAATGTAGCACTGGCCAAACACACACACACGGACACTAATGAGCACAGGAAAGACATGCAATGATATGGATCTCTGTTCCTGTTGACTTTATAATTCATCACAGAGTTTATTTTCCTCCAGAAGAGGAAGGAGAAGATATCATTTTGTGTTTAGGCAATGAGGGGAAAAACCCTGCCTTTGCCTTTTCTATTTCTGTCTTACACTCTTAAACACACGCACACACACGCACATACACAACTGTATAAACCCTGCCTAGGAATGCACAGAGGTGTTGTCTTGATTGATGGCAATTAGCACGCCGTAATGGTAACAGCTGTTTGGGGTTTCAGGAGGCTGCTACTGTACCTGACGCCCACCATACCATCTGCTGCCTTCCGTAGTGTGATGATGTTTGTAATTCTGTGTGTGTGGTATTATGTGAGACATTTTTTTTTAAAAAGACATCCAAATCCCATGCGGAGTTGTGTCAGCTAAGGTGACGATGAGAGTGTGTAGTAAGTCGGTAGTGTGTGTGTGTGTGTGTGTGTGTGTGTGTGTGTGTGTGTGTGTGTGTGTGTGTGTGTGTGTGTGTGTGTGTGTGTGTGTGTGTGTGTGTGTGTGTGTGTGTGCGGTTTGGAAGGTACTTTCCTTCTAACCGAATAACCCCTTGGCTGTAATTTTTCCCGGCTAAAAGACGGCCTCGCGAGGAACTTGCCGTGGTGGCCGGTGAGAGCGACCCGGGCGGCGGAAGCATAATTGCGAACAAAAGTGTAATTTGCCACTTGTGCGAAAATTAACGCTTGGAAAAATAGTTGGTCGGCTTCCACACAAAAGGACTGTGTTGTGCGGCCGATATCGCAGAGACCTTTGGGCGTGTCGACGAAAACTGTCGTGAAAGACGCCAAATAAAGGCTGAGTGAGTGCAACGCGCGCGGGTGGACGACGAAGGAAATAAACGCTCGATGTCGCCCCGCCGCTCACACCCTGGGGTCACAAAGAGAGGGAGACTCGCTACGTCGTTCTTCGTGTGTGCCAGGTTCGACGGCTTGAAGGGAGTAGGCGCCACTGGGCTCCTTTAGGCTAGGCTTCTCGGGAAAGGCATCTGTGCCCCGAGGGTCGCTCTAGTAGGTGTCGGAACAAAAAACCCTTTTAACGGTGCGCCGCACTAAGGTGACACCGGTCCCTGTAAGTGTGCCGTTCGGCTCGCCGCCGGTGTGGCCACCTGGTCCTATAATTAAACCGCTACGACGCCGGTTTATTAGTGGACTAGGCCAATCCCCCCGTAGACACCTTCCGTGTAGGTCACTCTTGCAGGGTTTGTGTGGGCACAATAAAACCTCGGCCGGGACAAGTGTGCTGGTCGTTCCCGTCTCCAGAGGCGGGTCGGCGACGGACACCTCGTCTACCCGACGGTCCGAGAGTAGGTTCCCCCCCCCGGCGGCGCCTTTGCGACACAGCACGCCGGGACCCGGGGACTCTAGGGGGGGGGGGGGGGGGTGGTAATGGTCGTGACCGTCGGACAGAAGTCACGCGGTGCTGCCGGAGGTGTGTAACCGGTCTATAGAACCGTTTGCCCCGCCGGCTTCTACTTCCGACCGACGGGCCCGGCCCGCCTGGCCCGGCGATTCTTGGGACCGCCTCCGCCGAGTTGGCCCAAAGCCGCCCGGGGGTTCACGACATAAAAAGTCACACCTGCGAATTTGTGAAGAATCTTGATTAATAAGGGTAGACCGGTTTTATATAATTTCAATTCAACAAATCCTGTGGAGTTTTCAAGTAGGTCCAGGGGAGACCTGAGAATTTGTGGTTCCTTACAACATTACTCCGATTGTCTGACACAACATACCCCAATGACGTTTAACGGAACAACCAAAATTTATCACAATTTCAAAATTTCCTACGTTTTATTTTCTCTAGTTCTTCTTACGTATCAGAGTTCTTTTAGAAAGTTAGGTTTGGTCTCAGAGTTTTCAGTTCACGTTCCTCCGTTGAAGAAGCTACCTCACAACAACTCGACACATACCGAAACTCCAATCAAAAGCGGACGTAACGAAGATCTATAAAACTCCGGAGTGGTAATTTGGTTCGCACTGTTCCGTTCCTCTTGTCTAGTTGTTGTTTGTTTAAGTTCCAAGCTCATTGCTAAGGTAAGTTCACTAGGGTCTGTACGGTCGACCTTAGTAATTGTACCGACACAATGTACAGAGAACAACGTTTGTCGGAGATTTGGTACTCCCTGAATAACGTTGGTAGGTAAAATGAACAAACGTTGGCGATAGTTATTACCTACATGTCCAGACTGGCGTGCCTGTCCGAAGTAAAGCCTGGTAAACTAGGTTCGTCGGACGTGTTTTTAGCTTGTGATACACGGTTCCGGCGACAGACTATTTAATAGAGTAAGTTTGGGGTGTCGTTCACACGAATGTTTCTGGCGGGTGGGGACAGTGAAATTATTTTTTACATCGTGACCGTTTGTGTGTGTGTGCCGTTGATTACTCGTGTCCTCTGTACGTTACTATACCTAAGAGACAAGGACAACCTGAAATATTAAGAATGTCCTCAAATAAAAGGAGGTTCTTCTCCTTCCTCTTCTATAGTTAAAAATACACAAAATCCGTTACTCCCCCGTTTTTGGTCGAAACGGAAAAGATAAAGACAGAAGTGTGAGAATTTGTGGTGCGTGTGTGTGCGGGGTGTATTGGTTTGACATAATTTTGGGACGGATCCTTACGTTGTCTCCACAACAGACTAACTACCGTAATCGTCGCGGCATTACCATTTGTCGACAAAACCCAAAGTCCTCCCTGACGAGACGATTGGAACTGCGGGTGGTATGAGTTAAGACGACGGAAGGCGGATCACACTAACAAACATTAAGCACGACACACATAATACACTCCTGTAAAAAAAAACAATTTTTTTCTGTAGGTTTAGGGTACGCCTCAACCAGTCGATTCCACTGCGTACTCTCACACGATCATCAGCCATCACACACACACACACACACCACACCACACACACACACACCACACACAACACACACACACACACACACACACAACACCACAGACACACGACGACACACACAAACACAAACACCACAACACACACCAACACACACCACCAAACACACAGCACACACACACACACACCACACACAACACACACAGGGTCCGACCGGTCGAACATTACAACCCGGGAACGTCGTCCGACACCGTCATAATAGTTTCTAACGGTAACCAAGGGGAGTACAAAAGGATTACCGTGAACGTCCAGTAACGATTCCTGGATGTGTTGTGGTACTGGGATTTGTTTGGGTGATCCCCACACCATTGGCACAGATACAAAACTCCCACAACACACGTCCCTATACTTCCCCGTCAAACTGGATCCTCTGACGACAGCTAACATCCCGGACCGGGTACACTAGGTAGACACGTTGTGCCCAACTCGGACTCAAAGTTCACGACACACACACACACACACACACACCAACACATTACACACACACACACAACACACACACATACACAACACACACACACACCACAACACACCCACACACACACACACACACAACACAACACGACACACACACACACACACACACAAAGGCATGATAGAGTCAGAGGTTCTCCCACCCGCCTGACTTTTGACACACCGTAGGTCGAATACACATACGGTGAACGAAACAACACACCGATTCACACAAAAATGCACTCCTATTCTACAGCTTTTCTCGACGTCCCCCTCAGTTTCGGCCTACCATTTTGGTCTTATCAGTCAAAACTAATTGGTCTTCGATTGTGTAAACTCCTTACTACATTACCCACGCGTATGTTTGAGTGTCTTTTTTCTTTTTCGCAAAACAAATATTCTGTCTATACATTCTTGTACACTGTCCTCTCTGGACCCTAAGTCATCGCCGAACAGGGCTTATGGTATAAGAACCTTAACGCTAGGCGTTATAGCGCACCCCTCGCCACCGCAGAAGTCCGTCACGTTGGCGAAGTTGTGATCGATAATAGCCAAATAAGTACCAGAAGTATATATCTATACTAAAATGGCGATCACCGGCAGGCCAACGGTATCGTTGGTGATCGAAAACGCGGCCGCGAGTGAGAGGAAGTGTACATTCTACAGTATGTTTTATTTCGGTTCGGTTGAATGTGAATTCTGTATATAAGTTGCGTCATTTTTGTTAGTTATAGGAAAAGTTAAGTTTTCCTGTTGTTAACCCAACCGATTAATTGTTTATTGATATTTATGTAATGCATCTGTCACCGCAGAGCACTCATATATAAACCACCCGTCGATACCTTTAGCACTGTTATTTGTACACAGCAGCACCACACACACACACACAACCTACAGATATATGAACGTGAGCTAAAAGTGCCTCTAGTGTACAAAGCGACGAAGACGACTAAGAGTGCGACATGAGCCTTGAAATTATCGATGTGGTAACAGACCAAGGGTCCACGCGCAATCTTCTCGCCGGAGTTCGGACTCTCACTCCGTCACGTCTGCTTGCTACTGAGCTGAGACGACGATAGACATTGTATGACGGAGGCTTTGGTTATACGAGACCACGGTGTAGTAGACAGCAATATAGATTATTCCTACGATAATAGTGTCGAGGGCCGCTAGTGATCGTGCTCAGATGTGAAGACCGTCGTAGGGGATGACACACAGTGGAACCATGCTCAACATTTGTAGTGTCGTGTGGTGTCCGGTCCCCGCGACTTTCCCGCGGGAAACTCGTAGTCTAGACTGCTGGCGACTAACCGATTTAATACCAAAGCCGCCCGTATCAAATGTCTATTCGTTGTCAGTCGAACAACCGACGTCGACGGACCGACTCCGAGGAAAGATGGCGGGCCTGCTCTCTCCCATTACTATGTGCGACGCGGTCGCGTCCTTTGTAACACTGGGATTAGCATTGAAATCCTGTAGCATTTGCGCTAAAATTTGTGCTCTAAAATAACAATCTAATATTGTAAAATGACGTGTTGGATGATATACTATAAATGGAACAAGAAATTTTTTAATTTTTATTTTTATTTTTTATATAAAAAACCTTATATAAATCATAATAAGATAAAAAATAAAAATACTGCGTTAGTTTGTACAACGCGTGTCTTCCCCCCGCCGCGGGGGAATCGCGCGGGATACCGGCCGGCGGGTGACGAAACATCTTATTGTTTTCTTACTTTACGTACTTATTTGGCTTTATTGTGCACAACTCGCCAAGCGACGACTTCAATAAGCGTGGGAAGGGCGGCGCGCCGGCCTATAGGCTTATAACCATAAGCCGGCTGTCGGATGACCAAGGGTCCAGAGAGACAGTGTACGAAGGAATGTATAGACACAGAATATTTTTTTGGAAAAAGAAAAGAAGACACTCAAACATACGTGTAAATGTAGTTTAAGGAGTTTACACAATGGAAGACCATTATTTTGAGCTGAATAAGACCCAAAATTTTGAGGTAGCGAAACCTGAGGGGACGGTCGAAAAACTGTTAGAATAGGAGGAGCATTTTGTGTGGAATGGTGTTGTGTGTGTTCACGTATGTGTAATTCGGACCTACGGTGTGTCAAGAGCAGGCGGGGTGAGAGAACCTCTGACTCTATACAATGTCCTTTGTGTGTGTTGTGTTGTGTGTGTGTGTGTGTGTGTGGTGTGGTGTGTGTGTGTGTGTGTGTGTGTGTGTGTGTTGTGTGTATGTGTGTGTGTGTTGTGGTGTTGTTCTGTGTGTATGTGTGTGTGTGTGTTGTGTGTGTGGTGTGTGTGAACTTGAGTGAGTTGGGCACAACGTGTCTACCTGTGTACCCGTCCCGGATGTTACTGGTCGTCAGAGGATCCAGTTTGACGGGGGAAGTATTGGACGTGTGTGGTGAGGAGTTTGTACTGTATCTGTGCCGCAATGTGTGTGAGTGGATCACCCAGACAAATCCAGGTACGCAACAACACATCCAGGAAATGTCTACTGGACGCGTCACGGTAATCCTCTGTACTCCCCTGTACCGTAGAAACTATTATGAACGGTTGTCGTGGACGACGTTCCCGGTCGGTAATTTGTTCGACCGTCGGACCGTGTGTTGTGTGTTGTGTGGTGTGTGTGTGTGGTGTTGTGTGTGTGTGTGTGTGTGTGTGTGTGTGTG